TCAACCTCTTTCCACGACCCCTTCCTTCTTCCCCTTACAACTGAAACCTGCTCTCAGTCATTAACACTCTTAAATTCACTCGTCACCATTCAGTGTCAATGACTCTTTGTCAAGTTTTACTTCCTAACAATTTTCATTCATTAAAGAATCATTGATTGACAATGTATTAGATGCCTGGTATTTACTGGACAAGGGCCCAGAAACACAGACTATCAAGGCATTGTCTGTATCAAATACTCACAGGCTAGTGCAGAAAACTACAGAAAGCAACAAATAGGAATACTAAAAATGGTACCACAGATGGCTGAACCGGGAACAGCGCGGGGACAGAGGCCACGGGAGAGGCGAAGAGGGACGGCTCCTATCTTTACTATTAGTATTTGGTGATATCTGTTGTTGGCATGTTTTCTGGTCAGACGGGAAGAGACCCTAGTGCCCTCAGTGTTAGTCATCCTCTGGGGAAAAGGACTCAGGTACCAAAATGCACCCTGGTCCATTTCCTCTTCCTCCTTAGTGCAGACAGTCCTATTCCAGGAGGTGAGATAAAGTGAAACTCATCACGTTTCTTTTCATTGTCCTTGACTTGAAATACATTTAGACATTAAAAAAAAAAAAAACCTGACTCTTACAAGCAATTCTATCCCTTGTCTCCCTCTTAGATGCTCCCTTCCTGGGTTAAGTCAAAGAAAGATACTGTTCCACTGCAATTTCTTATTCACCCCAAGCCCTCTTGTGCTTCTAGCAGAAACAAAATGTGAGCGGTACTCCTACCCTGCTCTGTCTTTCTAATCCAGTAATAACCCAACCGCTGAATCCCTAATGATAGCGATTACAGAGGTTAATATCCAAGCACTAAGGTGAAATTCCTGCTCTCATGCCATGGATAATCTCAGCTCAGTCTTTCTTTCCAAGTTTCTGTTCTCCTCGAGCAATTCAACTTTTTTCCTTCTAAAATTCTTGCCTTTCAGAATCTAAACAGCAAAAACAATTGTTATGGTAATAAGGCTCTGATTGAAGCAAAACTGCAGACCACAGAGCAAAACTCAGCCTCTAGGAACACATCCATAAGTGCTACTGAAAAGTAAAGTGAATGAGATGTGACACACAAAGCAGCACAAACACATAACCAAACGACGTCAGTGTGCACACGTTATCCCAGCTCTGGAAATGTATTTGACGGAAATAATTCAAAGGAAGAAAAAAAGCAGGTAAAAGCTTTCCTACCAAATGAGGTATGATCGCAGAAACCGGAGACGGTGATAGAGGCATGGCTGAGTAAATTACAGGCTATTAAAAACGATCATTACGAAGTCTGAGTAACAGCATGAAAAATGTTACGGATACGTCTCTAGGTTAAAAATAACAATGGCGTATGTACTATGATTACCGATACACAGAAAAATTATGTCTGCGTAAGGACAGCGGGTTCCTGGGCAATGTTTTTAAACGTCATTAGATGTTACAGTGTTGTCTTTACAATAAAAAAAAAAAAGGTCCCGAGGAAAACAGATGATGAGTCATTGCCTGACAACTGTCGTTTTGTAAGAAAGTCCCCTTTATGGTCACAACGACAGGCAGTTAAATGCAAGCACAGATGCCAGGTTCCCTTTTCGTGTTCCAGTTTACTTATTGATTTCCAGGAGTTAAAATTAATCTCATCAACACATTACAGACAGTTGTACTTGGGTGTCAACAGGTAATTAGTAAAACCTGAACGGAACCAAGACATGGGATTTGCAAGTGCAGTGTAGACGGGGCGGGGTGGGGGAAGGGTGGGGGGCGAGGAGGATGCTTAGCTGACCAGATCCACGGTCAGTTTCCCAATGTCTAAGTGCAGGGCATCGGTGCTCTTGGCTTCTCAGGGTAGACAGACGTTAGCAGAACTGAAAATTTCTTGTCTAAATTTAGAAAACTCCCAAGGTCCTGCAGCCCATCCCAGTCTTTGCCTCGGCCCCGCCTCTGCATGATTGCTGTTCGCATGGCTCGAGCCACAGGACCACCCTGCAGAGGCAGCCCTGCCTCTGTCTCCACCACCGGCCCTGGGCTGAGGTGGAAAGGTTTTGTTTTGTTTACATATACATTTCTTGCTTATTATACTAAAATGTACATAACATAAAATACATCATTTTCATCATTGGTAAGTGCACAACTCTGGGGCATCAAGTGCATTCACACTGTTGTACAACCATCATCTCCATCAGTCTCCAGACACTTTCACCATTCCAAACTAAACTCCACATCCACTGAACAAAAACACCCTATGCTCCCTCCCCCAGACCCTGGAAGCCCCTGTTCTACTCTGTCTCTGAGTTTGACGGTTCTTGGAACCTCACGTAAGTGGATCCTACAGTGCTTGTCCTTTTGTGTCTGGCTTACTGCACTCAGCATACTGTCCTCAGAGCTCATCCAGGTTGTAGCACGTCTCAGAATTTCCTTCCTTTTTAAGGCTGAATAATATTCCATTGTATGTATGCACCATGAGATGGAAAGTTCTAAGGGGCTACAGTCCATCTCTCTTGAGATTACAATGGTGACTGACTCAGTCCTGCTTCAAGCTCAAATCTGAAAAACATGTTTCCATCTCACTCTCAGGCCCACATTGGCTTATCCTTTGATTCTACCACTCCTCTAGTAGGTCATTACTTGGGAACCTGCTTAGACGTCATCTTTCCTCCCAGAGTCTAGAGAAAGATTCATACCTTCTAGGCCAGGACAGTGGCTGGAGCCTGTTACCTGTCGCTCACTGCTTGCACAGAGCTCCTACCTTGAGCCATGTTCAGTCCACCACTCAGGGCACCAAGAACTCGCCCCATATCCAAGACGGCAGCTCCCGGCCTAAACCTCATTGTTTTGACAGCACCTTCGTCTACTGAGCCTAACCTGTGGCCCCCTCTCCCTGTTCCTGCACCAGGGGAAGGTGTTATTCCAAAACATGTGCCTTCCTGGCATGTCTGCAGCAAACCCAGGCTCGCATCCTCACTGCACCTTCTTCCCTTCCACTGCCCATCACCAGATGCCTCTCTGCAACTTCCCTGACTCTGTCTAAACCCTGGGACTTTAGACCCAAGGCCCAGAGTCTAGGAAGCCCAGGTTCAGCCACACTTACAGCCAGAGTGAGTTCCTCCCTTGAGTGATGACACCAGTGAATCTGGTCAGACGTCTGGCGTCCACTTCAATCCACTGACGGAGGTCATTCCTCCCTGCGCACCAGGCCCCGTCGTAAAAATCATTTTCATTAATACCTGCCTGGAAAGAAAGAGAGGGGTGTTCTTCAGAAAGACCCAGAATAGAAGAAAATTAAGACAAAATTTTTATGAGACTTTGAGGGAGGGGGATGGAGGGGATAGAAGAGAATGAGGAAGGAGATAAAGAAAAAAATCTCTGTGCCCTGAATTCCTGATTCTAAGTCATAGAAAGGAGTTGCTTATTATTAACAAGTTGGAAATGTTCCGATATGATGTGTCCTCCTCTTGCCCCATGTGAAAGATGAGATTTAATGAGTTCTCCCATTACTCATTCATCCAACAGACACAGACCGTCTCCGCCGTACCAGCCTACACACGCCAGGTGCTGGGAGTACAAGGTGAATCGTTCCCTCCTGGAACCTCAAGATCCAGGCAGGAAGAAAGACATGAAAATAGAACACAACAGGGCACGTGTTATTTCAGGAATAGGAGCAAGCTGCTCCGGGAGCGTTCAGGCAGAGCACAGAGCTTGGGCCGGGGGAGAGCACAGACAGAAAGCCCCAAGGCAGAGGCGATATTTGAACTGGGTGTCGAAGGCTGCATTTTTCTACTAAAAATCTATTTATTAGCATTTAAGTCATTTCATGGGTTTGCATATCAGCTGCTATTGTCACCAAAGATTCTCTTGATCTGAATTGACAAGGGATGTGAAGTTTCTGCTCTGGAATTTTCCCTATATTATCACCATCTGAAGAGACATTTCCCTGATCTTAGGAAACCAAATGTGAGCAGAGAAACTTCCTAATTTACTAAGACCCTTTCTGCATTAATCCCATTTTCCTCAAGGCTACTTTACAAGTACGTCATCAGATGAGAAAAAGTCTAAACGATATTCAAGAAATAAAAGTAACAGGCCAGCGGAGTGGGTGTAGCTCAGTGGTAAAGCACATGCTTAGCACGCACGAGATCCTGGATTCAGTCCCCAGTACCTCCATTAAAATAAATTAAATAAAAACCTAATTACCCCCCCCAAAAAAGACTGATTAAAAATAAATTAATAAAATAATAAAAGATTAATTTAAAAAAATGATAGGCCAGCCCATCTTCCCTAGTTCTGAGTACTTTCAGCTTAAATTCTGTGACAGCTTTACTTTGAATGGCCAACAGCGATGAGAAACTCAGAGCCCAGCTATAGGAGAGGAACAGCTGGGTTGAGCGTCCCACTAAGCAGAACTCACCCACCACTGCACCAGCTAACAGAAGGCTTGCATCAAGACCAACACAGGGTATGCATTCCCAGTCCACTCTGGAAACAATCTTGAAAGAGCTTTGAAAGCAAATGTCAGAATGCTAACTCATACGGTCTTCTGAAAGCAACACTGCCGTTTCAAATACAGGTGAATAAAAAAGCTGTCAGTCAACATTCTCCAGAAACCCAAGCTCTCGATTAACCAGCACCTCCGTGTCTGGTGGTGCACGAGGTGTCTGTAATAAGGACCTAGAGGTGCTGCAAGGTTCCGCCTTCTAGAGCCATCAAAGAAAGGCTAAATTCTGCAAGTGTGTGTTATGGTCCTTACCTGCGCTTCAGTGCGTTTTGTTAAAGTGATGGCGACTCTTAAGTATAACCTCTCATTTCCCAACACGGCTAGTCAGCAGGGAGCTCACCATCCCAGCCTAAAGGCTATCATTACACCACTGCTCCCTTCCTTCACCTAAGGCACTTATCCCCCGCAAGGGAGGAGACGTGCAGCACAGTAATGACCTACAACATCACAGTTCATCTTCTTTCAAGAAACCGTAACACACGCTGCGTTTTTGTTGTGTTTCCTCTTTTCTCGTAAGTCGCCCATGAGACTGGTGCTTAGGATAGTCCCATTCATTTACCGAAATTAACCTTCACCTTGCCTCTGATAAATGTCAAGTGATGGCCCAGGCAATAGGAATACAAAGGTAGACACCACGGGCCGCCCTGCCTTCCCGGAGCTCGGGACGGGCAGACGGACTGAGGCCCTCCTGTGGTCTCGTGTCTCGGTCTTGGCATCTCCAGATCACCCACTGCACAGTGTGCCCATTAACAGCTTGTGCTCCCAGGTCCCGTCTGGGTGTGAATTTCAGCTCTAAAGCCCCCATCCTGCATAAACTCAGGCAGTTTGCTGACATGCTCTGTGCCTCTGTTTCCTCATCTGTTCAAAGTGGGCGCAGTGATCACTTCTGCTTTCAACAAGGCCTGGCACTTAGTTCGCATGGGCTCAAAAAGGAATACTCAACACGTTAGTTATCAGTACATCTGAAACAGTGAATATTTGGTACATCACGGAAATATGGGTGTTTTCGAATTAATTCACATTTTACAAAATGCTAGGGAATTGCAATACTATTCCAGTTAATTGATGTCACATTTTCTACCACCCCAAATATCCAGAATAGAGTTATAAAATCTAAAAAACGGGGAGGCCCGCTGTCTAAAGTTCTCAACAGGAATCCATATTGCACCCCCTCCCTCCCCAGGGGATATCTGACAATGTTTGGAAGGGTTTGGGGCTGTCACAACCCAGGGAGGTGTGTGCAACTGGCAACTAACAGGCAGAGGCCAGAGATGCTGCTGAACATTCTACAATGCACAGGGCAGCCCCCTCACAAAGAGTTGTCCAGCCCAAAATGCCGATCATGCCGAGGTTGCAAAAGCCGGCTCATGGGCTAAGCGGACAAGAAAGAGCTGCCACGCAGCCCAGGATGTTTACCCTGCGGGATCATGGAAGCTTCGAGCAGGTGGTCTCGTGCCATTTGACCCAAGTCTACAAACTGGGATCTGGAATTCAATTTACAGTTCCTGGTTTTGCCAGCCTGGATATTTAGCTTCTGCTCCAATCTCAGTTCTTTCTGAGCATACTAGACAGACAATTAAATGTAATAAGGTGTCAGGGGATTGAAGAGCTGAAGCTGACTCTTTGGGAAATGACATCCACCTCTGCAAAATCAATTATGAATTTATAAAGCAAGCGTCCGGGAGAATTCAATAAAAGAGGAGGCGCCAGCCCTAGAGACGTCACCAAATTACACCAGGGTGCCAAAAATGATATTAGTAAAATGTCTGAGAAACCAAGAAACATATATCCTTTTCTGTCTAATAATGCAGAGAAATACTTCATAAATTTTGGAGGAATTTCAATCAGAAGTTGTTGAAATAAAAGGCTTGATTCCTTAAAGTATAGTCTAGTCTTGAAAACCCCACTCACATGGAATGATTACTTGTACTACAGTACCAAATATATTAAGAATTAACGTAATTTTCTCAAGGCAATTGTTACAGGCATCATTTCTTTACCTTTAAAAGTCCACACCAATGAATCTAACAGACTACATTTGACGTAAGATAAACGTGGGAATTATTAATTCTATAACAAACAGAAAACCTGACACTACCCATTTAAGATCAATCAAATAGGATATTTCTGTTTCAAAATGATGGAGTAAATATGTTGATTTGTTTATGTTTTTTCTCAAAAATTCTGCCAAACAAAGAAAACAAGATAAAGAAATACAACCCCTGATCTCTGATAAGACTAGGAGACATTTGTCATACCCAAGTTACTACATATGAAGGCAAAAATTAGATGGAGGAATCTTGAATGACCCAGCAAGAGAAGGAAGTGCTGACTTAGGACAAACACACCAATGAGAAGCCACACAGAACCCAAGAAAGCACAGAAACCAGATTCTCGGGCATCCTGGAAGGTGAGAGTCAGGCAGGGCTGAAAACGGGGAATTGATTCAAACTGTGTATTAAAAAATCTAGATTCTCATGTCCCCATCCTCACTCTGCAGAAGACCTGAATTTTTTCTCTTAAAAAAATTCAAAAAGACACATGCATCCCAATGTTCATAGCAGCACTGTTTACAACGGCCAAGACATGGATACAATCTGAATGTCCATTGACAGATGACTGGATAAAGAAGTTGCGGTACATTTATATAATGAAATACTACTCAGCCATAAAAAATAATAAAATGCCATTTGCAGCAACATGGATGAACCTGGAGGTTGTCATACTATGTTAAGTAAGTCAGACAAAAAAAGAAAAATATCATATGATATCACTTATGTGTGGAATCTAAATTAAAGAAAGACAAACAAACTTATTTACAAAATAGAAACAGACACACAGAGATAGAAAACAAACTTATGGTTATGGCGGAGCAGGCAGGAAGTGGGTGGGAAGGGATAAATTGGGAGTTTGAGATTCGCAGATACTAATACATATAAAATAGATAAACAACAAGTTTATAACACAGGGAACCATATTCAATATCTTGTGGTAACATATGGTGAAGAAGAATATGAGAACAAATGTATGTGCATCCCTACATGACTGATGCATTGTTCTGTACACCAGAAATTGACACAACATTGTAAACTGTACTTCAATAAAAACATATTTTAAAAAAAGAACAAAAACACCAAACCAGAGATGCTCTGGACTTGGGACCCCAAACACAGAGGAGGGCAGGTGTGATACAATAAATAAAAACAGGGAGTTCAGTGGGTATCCGCAGATGACCCACCTCCCTTCCTCCATGCAATTTTGGAACACAACGCAGCCGGGACAAACAAAAAATAAATAAACTAAAACTATAATGGAGAACAGGAGAAAACCTCAAAGAAACTACAATTAATATCCCTTGAGAGAGAAGATCTTACTTGCATGAAACAAGAATAGGATGTTCTTAGAAAGGAAAAGGTCGTGCGTGAGAAAGAGCTCTTGGAATGTGAAAATTCCAGTAACAATAGACAATAAGAGAAAAATAAGAAGGGCAGAGGAAGAAATCAGAGATTTTTTCGGGGAAAGTAATTACAAAAAATACTATGTGATAACATCCCAGATCTCTAAGATTTAAGTCTCTGAAGAACTAAGAATACAATACAATGAATAAAATAAGATCTACACCAAGAGACACTATGGTGAACTTCAAAACATCAGAAATAAAGAGAAGATCCTAAAAGCTTCCAAAGAGGAAACAAATAATAAAACAAAGAAAAACAGAGTAATCCCTTAGAGTGAT